GTCTAAATATGACCCAAAACCAAAAAGTCGACAGAAGTAAATGGCAGCCGAGTACACCCGTCGTACTCAGATTTGTGCCTAGCATACACCTTCTTTGGCCAATACACATAATGTACGAGCTGGGTATGCCCAACGTTCACTACAACCAACCTGAATCACCATTAAGTGCCTAATCAGTTAAGCCACTATGCCTAATTCTCAAATTTGTTCCTAAATGATGTCTTAACATGTATAGTTGGCAACTTTACTTATTTGCATGCCTTAATGGGGCCAATAATCAATAAAATCCATAATAAGCACCAAAACTCATCCTTTGTTTAATATAACTCATGAAGATTACATTTTTATGAACTAAGGACCTCAAAAATGCTAAGATCTTTCATCCTTATCTTCTGGAGTAGCTCATACTCTCATGCATGACTTAAAGGACTATAAAAAGCACAAGAACAAGCCCTAACTATATCTAACAAATGAACCATCAAGTTAAGACCTTTATACCTCAAAGAGCTTTCCAAGTTGATGATGATTCTGGATCCACAAACTCTAGCCACACCAATGCAACATCACAAGTTCCGTTTCCTTTAAAATAACCAAAAGCACCTTCAAAGCTCACTTCCAAGCTCAAAACACTCACAAGGAAATTAGGGTTTCATTCATAGGGTTTGGAGAGGTGGAGTATGGTAATAAGAGAATCTAAGAGCAACTTAAGATGTTTAAATAGGGCATAAACCCTAAAAATTAGGGTTTACCCATGATGGCCATACGCCCCGTCTACATACATGTACGCCCCATATACGTGGGTGCCTTCGTGATTCGGATATTGAGCCAATACGCCCAACGTACTCCAAGAGTATGTCCAGCATACTCGGCTAGGGACTAAAACCACTAATCTTCTGAGGGCCATAACTTCTTCGTTCTAAGTACAATTTCGATGTTCTTTATATCCACAAAAAGGTAATGAGAAGCTCTATAATTCTATCAACTCTACTTTGAGTTAAAACATACTGATCTTAAATCCAAAGTCCATAAAAGGCCCAAACTATCACTTTATGGTTATATCCTTGGGCTCCAAAACACAAACCGAACTCTCAGATTACCTAATCTACATTATCCACATCCAAGGGGTCTGAATCTCTCCTTTACCAAGGCCCATAGCCTTATGATAACTAATCTTTGGGTTACAACCCCGAATTAGGAAACAATCATCAAAATCACATGCTTACTATACTCTTGGAACCCAAACGCTCCGAACAGTACCTCTGGATTCCCCAAATCACTAGAAAGGTTGTCTCATACTCTTAGTGACCCACCTAATGCTATCATGGAAACCCAACCTTTTCAGAACTCATACTTGATATGGGCATATTTAGTTATAAAATTCATATATTATCTTAATACTTTATGTTGATTTTATCTCATTTAATGAACAGGATGTGTATAATTAGTTTAGAATTTCATTTTGTAGCAACAAAGACATGCTCTGAAGGAAAAGGAAGCGTAACTAGCGATTGGAAGCTTGGATCTTAGATTTTGAAAAAAAAGGATGTTGTTGGATAGCTTGACCCCTCGTCAGTGTTTTGGTCATATATCATGAACCGTAATTCCAATTGACGAGATTCAAATGTTTTGAAAACTAGACACAATTTCGGACGACTTTCGTGTTTTGAGAAAATGCTGATTCCAAACAGACTCGACGAGTTGGGTCAAAAAACTCGTCTAGTTGGCTCTGTTTTCAGAATTTATATATAGAAACACTTTCATTCGAAACCCTAACTAATCCTGGAAGCTTAGGATGATTTTTGGAGGCCAGAAGGGTTCTTAGAGCTGTGGTTTTCAAGAATTCAACCTAGAATTCAATTTTGAAGAGATCAAAGGCAAACACGCATTACTTTTATCTTAATCTTTTGTGTGAACCATGTTTGAATCATTAGATTTTGATTTTATGATGCTATTTGCTGTAGTTATGAGCTAAAAGCTTCATACTTCTATTTAGACTAGATGAACTTATGAACATGGTGTGATTTTATGGCTTGGATTAATTTGATTTGGTGAATTATCTTGTCAAGCTTGTTAAAGACCCTTATGTGTTAACGATAATTATTTTCTGTTAATAATCTAGTTATTGAGTTCCATGAACATCTTCTTAATTGCTTGAATCATATGGTTTTTGTGAAAACAATATTGTATGATTAGTATTAGTGAATATGAACCTAGGATTATCAAGAAAATAAGTAAGTTAATGTGTGATGAACAACCATAAATGAGTTGACTGAATTGATAAATTTAGTTAACTAATATTACAAGTCATACTTGATCCGAACTAAACACTAGGCAACTTGTTAGTTTAATCAATTGATCACTATTTGAATTAACTTGTTTGCTAAGGATTAGTAATAGTGGACATGAACCTAATCAGATTAGAAATTGGGAGCCAATGACATATTAGTCCATTGCACTTGCTACGAAATCAACCATAGGAATAAGTGAATCGAATCTAAATGGAAGTCTCTTTAAATTAATTGAATCCAGTTGTCTTTTGTTTCTCCTTAGTTGTTAATTGTCCTTTGTTTAAGTGTTTCAGTAGTTTCTTAAGTTTCTAGTCTTGTAAAGCTAGAGAGAAATCCTTCTTTTTACTTGTTTTTATTTAGATAATACTAGCATTTATTTTAATTGTCACCGTTCCCTGTGTTCGATACCCTACTTACCTGAACTAAACTGGTAATCGATAGGTATACTGCCTTTCGTGTGTTTGTCTTTATGTTTATGTTTGTAGGATTAAAACTAGTGCATTCTATACGTATCAAGTGTTTGGCGGGGTTTATTGCATTAGTGACATGAGAATCCTAGGTATACTTTAAAAAAAAAGTTATATAAACAATTGCTAGGATTAATTCATAAAATTTTGGTAAAGCAATTAGGATTCCATGGTAGTATTATGTTAGATAATTTTATGAGGACTTAAATGTTTAGTTGAGCCTATATACGTTGTAGTGCATTTGTGGCTCTCTTTATTCTAGTGAAATTATGGCACAAAAACACAACCTTGCTTAATTTGAGGGATGCAACATGTTTAGCATCGTGTACCAGAAATGTATCTAGGAAAACTCAAGTTATTGCACAATAAGACTAATAGCTTTAATCAATAAAGGATGAAGTTAAATCTCCTTGCATAAGAATATGTTTTTCTAGGATTTTTAGTTTAAGTGAAAAAAGTGTGGTTGAAAAAAAAAGTTAAAAAAAAAGAGAAAAAAGAAAAGAAAAAAGGTGATGAAATGTTCGAATAAAGAATCTACAAATCTATGAAGAGAAAGAAGAAATTATTGAAGATTCAAGGCAAAAAGTTATCAAGTTATCAAGTATTTTATTTTTATTTGTAATTTTCTTTTCTAGGTTATTTTATCGTATGTGTGCTTGGGGATTTAACAAAAAATGACTTGAGGTTAAGAATGTTTTCCGCAGATGGATTCGGAGGGATGCATAAAATGAGCATTGTTCAAAAGAAGTGGGAGAGTGTTTATGAGAATTGTTAGTATTTAGAATTAGGGGGGTCCTTATGAAAAATTTAGAGTCAAATGCATGCGTTGCAGTCTTGGCATAATGGCTGGGTTCAATTGGGATTGTCTAATGTGATATTAGTGTGCTAAAATTCAGTTCTGCTTGGGGGCAAGTAAAAGTCAAGTGTGATGTATTTTGATATGGACATATTTAGTTATAACATTCATATATTATCTTAATACTTTATGTTGATTTTATCTCATTTAATGAACAAAAGGTGCTTAATTAGTTTAGAATTTCATTTTTCAGCAACAAAGGCATGATTGGAAGGAAAAGGAAGCGAAATTGGCGATTGGAAGCTTGGATCTTGGATTTTGAAGAAAGAAGGATCTTGTTGATTCCATATCTCATGAACCGTAACTCCGATTTACGAGATTGAAAATGTTCTGAAAGCTATACACAATTTTGGATGACATTTGTGTTATGAGAAAATGTGGATTCCAAATGGACTCGACGAGTTGGGTCAAAAAGCTCGTCGAGTTGGTTCTATTTTCAGAATTTATATATAGAAACGCTTTCATTCGAAACCCTAATTAATCCTGGAAGCTTTGGACGAACTTTGGAGGCCAGAAGAGTTCTTAGAGCTGTGGTTTTCAAGAATTCAACCTAGAATTCAATTTGAAGAGATTAAAGGAAAACAAACATTACTTTTATCTTAATCTTTTGTGTAAACTATTTTTGAATCATTAGATTTTGATTTTAGGATGCTAGTTGATGTAGTTATGAGCTAAAAGCTTCATACGTCTATTTAGACTAGATGAACTTATGAATATGGTTTGATTTTATGGCTTAGATTAATTTGATTTGGTCAATTGTCTTGTTAAGCTTGTTAAAGAACCTTATGTGTTAGCGATAATTTTTTTTTTCTGTTAATAATCAAGTTATTGAGTTGCATGAACATCTTCTTAATTGCTTGAATCATATGGTTTTTGTGAAAACAATATTATATGCCTAGTATTCGTGAGTATGAACCTAGGATTAACAAGAAAATAAGTAAGTTAATGTGTAAGCATGTGTGATGAACAACCATACATGAGTTGACTGAATTGATAAATTTAGTTAGCTAATATTACAAGTCTTACTTGATCCGAACTGAGAATTAGGAAACTTGTTAGTTTAATCAATTGATCACTGTTTGAATTAACTTGTTTGCTAAGGATTAGTAATAGTGAACATGAACCTAATCACATTAGAAATCGGCAGCCAATGACATATTAATCCATTGCACTTGCTACGAAATCAACCATACAAATAAGTGAATCGAATCTAAATGGAAGTCTCTTTAAATTAATTGAATCCAATTGTCTTTTGTTTCTCCTTAGTTTTTAATTGTGCTTTGTTTAAGTGTTTAAGTAGTTGCTTAAGTGTCTAGTCTTGTAAAACTAGAGAAAAACCCTTCTTTTTACTTGTTTTATTTAGATAATATTAACATTTATTTTAATTGTTTACCGTTCCCTGTATTCGATACCAAAAAAAAGGGTTAGTATCGTAACGATTCGGTAATTCAATTTTATATTATTTAGGTATAAATAATATTTATAACTCAATTTAGTGGAGTTCATAAATCTTATATTACATGGAAAATTCATATCGAATGTTACAAACAAAAATTTTTGGTGAATTCATCACCAAAATGCGACAAATTCTATACCCAGCTAAACACCCAATTTTTAACGGAATGAATTTAGAAATCCAACCTAACTATCTTGTAATGTATTATTATTATTTATAATAATGGTTTTTATGATAATTTGAATTTTATAATTCAAATTAAATATTTATACATCTTATATACCATATTTCCTTATAAAAATACCACTATTTTATAAAAATGTCAATCTTTTATAAAGGTTTGACTTCTTTTTTTATAAAAAATCATTACAATCTAGGATGGTTCCCCCATAATTAACACTTTATGTACCAAAGCATATAGTAATACACTACTAGTCAAATCCTTCTCCCCCCATACCCCCTACCCACCCTATCACCCTCTCCCCCCCCATAAGTTACGCCCCCTCACTCTCTCTCACTTCATCATCTTCATTTTCTTCATTCTCTCATTTCCTCCCAACAACTCTTCAATTTCTTTAAGCATTACTCTTTCACAAGTTGGTTCTTAAGTTTTTGGTAGGATTTTCTCCATAAATCTATTGATACTACACATAAAATACTAGTTTTGTTACATTTACACACATCTATATGTGTTATTATCCAAAGGGTAATTCAACGTTCAAGTGTTATTCAAGCATCTTCAAGTGTTCTAAGCTTGAAAACCTTTATCCTCATATCTTTTTCCACCAAGAAACCCACTCTAGGTGGGTTCATACGCCATCATTTTCGAGTTTTTCCAAGTTTTAGAGGGGGGGGGGGTGGTACAAATAAACTTGTATATTTTCTATACATTGTTTCTGCTTCACCATATGAATTAAATTTTGATGAAACTTTTGGTTTGATGTCGTCTAAAACAACCGGAGTCCAATACAAGGTGCCACCAGGAGAAACATAATCATGAGTAACATGTGGTTGTCCTGCTTAAACATAGCAAATACAAAATTATTATGAAAGAATTATATAACTTTTATTCTGACACAATTTTATTTTTTCTGTAAAAATTAAAATATACTGAATTGAAATTGGTACCTTCAATGAAATCAATATTAAACTCTGTATCTTCATGAGTAACATGTGGTTGTCCTGTTTAAAATAGAAAATACATAATCATTCTGAAAGAATTATATAAATATTATTCTTAAAGCATTAACTTTTTTCTGTATCAACTTCAGTATCCTGAATTGAATTTATTACCTTCACTGTAATCAATATTAACCTATATATCTTCATCAACGAAGCGATTTTTGTCTTCATCATTATTTGCGTCCTCTGTATGTTCAGAAATGAAAGTATTAACATTTAACATGAAACATGTTTGTTACAATATAGAATCTGAAAATAGAATGAAAAATTAAACAAAATATCAAAAAACTAACCTAAATTAGGATTACTGCTTTCTCCTGTTTGAAATCCGTCATTATATAGTGTATCATTATCAGGAAAATCGAAATCTTCAATTCCATTGTCATCATCACTAGCCAAATAATGTTCCTCATAAATATGATTATTGACATCTTGTTCTTGATCGCCCATTGCTAAGAAATTCCGAGAGTGTTTGTATATGCTTTGTTAGTTGAAAAATCAAAATATTTAAAAATGTCATACAAACTAGATAGGGATGAAAACGGATTCTATGCAAATTAAAAGCCTTGATATTAGGGATCATTGATAAAAATAAATGATTCCGATTTGATTTTTTTTAAAAACATGATAAAGGAAAAAACATGAAAACGGTACTATATTCAAATTCCAAATATAAAAAATTCCAACAGTACATTATATTAACTACTTAACAATATTATTATGTATTTTTTTAAAGAAAAGTTGCAGAATATTTTATTGACGAAAGTATTCTATTAGAATGTTATATAAATATGCATTACAAAACTCTGCATGTTATCGGAATGAAATAATTCTATCAGAATACTATAGCAAGTATGACTTATAAAACATATCAATTTTTGTTAACTCGAATCAATGCACGCATTAATAATTTTTGTTAACTCAAATCTGCTATGATATTCTGTTGGAAAGATAACCTGTATGATCATATAACACATAAATATATCATAGAACACGAACATCTTATTAATTTTAACCATAATACTTAAAGAAAGACACATATAATTCATCAAACGACAACTTTATTACACTGAACTGAAACTTGATAATACCATATAATTCATCAAAAATTACTTTTATTTTACTGAAATCAAACTAAATAATATCTAAAAACGACCAATTTGATGAAGTTCTTGTAGTTTTATGATTTCTTCAATCCAGAAGGATAATTCCTGCTATCATGACCAACTCCAAAGCCTGTTTTACATCTTCTTATTTTCTTCACAACTTTATTCACCGGATTCTTGGAATCATTGACATTACCGAAATCCTTCCCGGGATTTTGATCATCGTTTTCCTGGAAGATTAGCAGATTTAATACATTTGTATATATAAAAACAATAAAAGGGTGTGTGGGGGACGTTTGAAACATAATCAATATTATCGTTGACAAATGCTTGTAAATATGTAGCAATACCTGGTTCCGATTTCCAGTATGAACATCCATCGAATGAGTAACACAAATTGATCGGCATATTATGTATTCGAGAATTGTGATCTGTGTTTGTGGATCGGACGTTAAAAACCATTATATAGAGAAAATTACATTAAAGATAACTAAATCAATCATAAAACATTGCCTAATATAAATGGATAAGATCCAGATTAAATAAGGAATTAAAATGAAAGATTACATAATTACCCTTATGGATTAAAAAAATTAATTAATAATTTGCTAAATTGTGATTGGTGCATTTAGGCACACAATACTTATTGAAAACATTTGAACCTAACTATATATATATATATATATATATATATATATGTGTGTGTATGTGTGTGTGTGTGTGTGTGTGTGTGTGGACACAACAAAAAATATATGATAAACTATAATGGGTGTAGTTTATGGGTCATAAACACTATTTTATCATTTTGTGGCGAACAAATAATTATTTAAAGGTATAATTATTTTACACTATGTAATCACTATGGAAAGATAATATTTCCACTTACAAAAGGGTTTTCATTACACTATACGTAAACCTGATAATATAATTTTGTGAGACATAGTCTGCACTGTACCTACCAGAGTATCTACAAAATTCATGTATTATAACCAGGATCTCTCGTAAGAGAGCGTGATACTTGTGTATATATGTCTATACGGGATTGATAATCCTGCACGTAAGCTGTTAGCTACAGCTAGACCGACAGGTCTGGGGTGGCAATTGTCATAACATTCTGACGCCTGAAGAATATCGCAACATGCTAACTATGGTTTTAATATGATTGTAATAACTCACATGGGATATCAACAATACATTTGGTTTACGAGGAAAACATTTATTCATATGGTTTTCTATAAGAATAAAACTACATAATACTATATTCGAGTACAACAAGTCTATACAATTTTGGTCTTAGGGTTTTAAAACTACAACTCTTATTTAAGAAAATATTAGATTTTCTGGAAACATACACTATCATTTTACAAGGAAAAGTTACGATGTTTTCTCTTACAAAACTCTTATGAACACACCAACTTAATTGTTGACACTTTTTCAAACTACTTGTATTTTCAAGGAATCATTAAGCAAGGTAATTACAAAGCCGCGAGGATGGATATTACAGCGTCACACTATTCATTTTTTTGTCGTGATGTAATTGGAATTGAAACAAACAACATTCGGATACAATGTAATTTTCCCAATTATAATTATGATGGTTATTTAGCTTTGATCACTATTATTCATTATGTTATGATATTGTTCAAGAAGTCATCCACCCTCCGACGTTTTCGCCGTTCTAGTTTGGGGTGTGACAGATTAGTATTAGAGAATTGTTTATAGTGAGCTGAGTATATCAAACCATGTAAGATATACAACTATAAATACAATGCGGCTAAAAAACTCTGACTAAAGCATTTTGCATAAGTATACTTCTAAAATATTATGATATGTTAGTAAAGTATAAGTACATACCTACATACTAGAACAGTGTCATAACAAAGACAATACAAAAGTAATAAGATAAGTAGAACACTACGAGTAGGCCTAGCTGGTATTTAATTAGATCTTGGATAAATATAGACTGGTCAACTATATTTATTCGAGACGTGATTAACATGTGCTTGAGAATAGTCGTGGTGAACAACAAGTCTAAAACTTACCAACAATCCATACAAAGAAACTCTTGAATCAAGCATAAAGTTTAAAAAACTAGAGGAGTATTTTATGATACTATAGAACTATACATCTACATTCTTTATGTGCCTCTTCCCAAAGGACATCATCCCTTTCCAAGGAGAGACCTTTAGCAATACGTGATCACCTGCTTGAAATTCAAAGGGCTTCCGTCATTTATCCGCGTTGCTCTTTTGTCGGTCTTTGGATGCCTTTAGTCGTTCCTTAATCTGAATGATCTTCTCAATTGTATCTTTGATGATCTCAGGATCTATGAGAGTGCTATTGGGTACATGCCCTTTTTCCAACTGTGTATCTCCCAACTCAGCCCAACAGAGAGCTGATCAGCAATTATGTCCATATAGAACCTTAAAGGGAGCGACCTTGATGCTTGTATGATAGTTATTGTTGTATGAGAATTCGATTAGTGGAAAGTGGATATCCCATGCTTTGCCAAAGTCTATCACACAGGCTCTCAGCATATCTTCTAGTGTTTGGATGGCCCTCTCACTCTGTCCATCTGTTTGGGGATGGTAATTAGTACTCATATCCAGCTGAGTTCCCAATGACCTCTGAAGTGACTGCCAAAACCAAGAGGTAAATCTACTATCCCTGTCAGAGATGATAGATATGAGCACGCCGTCTAATCTCACGATCTCTTTTATATAGGTCCAAGTTAACTTCTCCATTTTATCACTTTCCTTTATTTGCAGGAAGTGGCCGAATTTGGTCAATCGGTCAACGATTACCCAAATATTGTGAAGTCCACCCATGGTCTTGGGAAACTTGGTTACGAAATCCATAGTTATCCATTCCCACTTCCACTCGGGTATTTCTGGTTGTTGTAGTAGACCCGAGGGCTTCTGATACTCCACCTTAACTTTGGCGCAAGTCAGACACTTGCTCACATAGGCAACAATTTCGACTTTCATATTCGGCCACCAATAATGTTGTTTGAGATCCAGGTACATTTTATCCGAACCCGGATAGACGGAGTACTTTGTTTTATGGGCCTTATTCATAACCACGTCTCTGAAGCCACCAAACTTCAGTGTCCAAATTCGGTCCATAAGGTAGTAGGGTCTGTTGTCCTTGATCGTGAGATTCTTGTCCATCCCTCGCACGACTTCGTTTGTGATATTTTCCAATCTCAAGGCTTCCAATTGAGCTTCTCTGATTTGCGAAGACAGGTGGGAATGGATGGCCATTGTTAGAGACTTGACTCGGCGATCAAAGTATTCTTTCCGGCTTAGGGCGTCTGCCACCATATTGGCTTTGCCCGGATGGTACCGGATCTCGAGCTCGTAATCGTTCAACAACTCAACCCATCGCTACTGCTTCATATTTAGTTCCTTCTGATTTAGAATATGCTGGAGGCTTTTGTGATCCTGAAAATGGTGCACTCACTACAAGAAAAACAACATTTTACGAAACGCAATGCTTGTCGTAAAACGCTCAGATGACACACAAATGCGTGTCAAAGAAGGCCCTATCATAACAAAAGACGACACGCTTTTGCGCGTTGTCTATTTACGACACGCATTTATGACGCCAGTTACAACACACATTTACGACGCTCATTTACGACACACAATGCATATCAAGGAAGGCCACGTCATAGAGGAAGACGACACACATTTGCGTGTCGTAACCTTACGACTCGCATTGCGTCTCATTAAAGCCCCTGTCAAGAAAGGCCATACCATAAATGAAGATGACACACATTTTTGCGTATCGTAATTTTAAATGTTAAAAAAATATTATTTATAGATTTACTACTTTTCAAATTAAATTTGCATTTAATGTGTCCTAATAGAAAATAGAATATCATATACAAAAAATACAATCCATTGCATAAAATTTAACGCCATACAAATAATCGTTCAAAGAAAGATAAAACAAATCAATAGAAGTTGTAACAGAAATTTGCAAACTAATTAGATACAAGAAATATGAAAAACTTGAAATCCCTAAGATTAATAGTTCTAACAGAAGCTTCACGTGAGATACATACAGTTGGACCAGTAAGCAAGGATGTTCCTGAATCTGCAATAGTAGCACGAGAACACGTACACGGTATCTTTTGCTAAAAGGTGTCGATCCAAAACTATTGTGCTTTTTTATCCTGCAAAAAAGAAATGTAAGGGTAAAATGATCATTTAGTGATTTAGTCTCATACAAACAGTTTCTTGTTTATTTCGACTAGAAAAGAAAAATACCTAAAAGTACTATTTAAACAAACTAACAATGACTGCTTCTTTTCGGGACTGTATGAATGATCTGAATATG